GACATAGTCTTACTGTCTAACAGAAGGAAAATGGATAAAGAGTTATGACAGCTGTTGTGCGGCTTTACAACACTGATGTTCAGGCAACTCTCCTTTTGCCTCAGTATTCTGAATGAGCTCAGAGAGGCAGTAACCCTGATTAGCTGCTGTGGGCATTTTTGCTGTGCCTGACTGGTGTACCAACATGGTTACAAGTGTGTTGACATAGCCTGAGAAGTTTGAAGTGTGGAGGACATAAACCAGCCATAGCTAGATGGGTATAAAAAACAGGTCTCTTCTCAGCGTAGATAATCAGGAAAGTCACCTGGAGGAAAGATATTTACACAGAGTTGAGAAGATCCATGGGGATTAGTCGGAAATGAGAGGTGGGCCAGCCTGCAGATGGAAGAACAGAGAATCTTCTACAGAGGACAGTGAGAGGAGGAGTCTGGGGCTCTGGGGTGGTCAGAGAATGAAAGAATGGCCCTCTCCCAGGTCTTCAAGAGCTCTTAGTACCCACACCCAAGCTACCCAGATCTTTAGAAGAACCAGAAAGTTGTTTTCAGCTGGGTAAGTGACAGTTCAGAGTATTGTGACTTTACAGATGGTTTTCTTCTGCCGTCAACCATGAGAAGTACCTTTGTTTCAATCATGTCTTTTATCAAAGTGAAGGAGGGAATTACAAGGAAGTTCTAAGAGTGGCCTCAGCCCTGGACAGTTTCCATAGCCTTTCTTTCCTGCTCCCAGGAATAGCAGACCAGCACGCTGGGGAACAACATCTTGAGATCAGGAGGGATAGTCAGAAGAGACTGGGTTTTGTTTCCTCTTTAAGAAGTGCATCTTTCAGAGCTTTGGCCCAGGGGACCATATGAACTTGGGACTTGAAAACCTGGTGGTTGGCTCTTTGGGGTCCTTCACTTAAAGCATGGAACACAGCCACAGAGATCTCACTCTCTTGAAAGTTTCCTGAGCCTTGGGTGACAAACTCCCCATGAACCCTAGGCTGTCCATCCATGAATAATAATCTTTCTTTGTAACCTGCTGAGTCTGTAGCGCATCAGCTCTGGTTACAGGAAATACAATAGGACAAAGGAGGTACAAAGGGAAGGGATAGGACTCCCTCTTGATTTTCTGCCCTACTAGGTTTGGTTCCCACTCACCTGCAAATAACTGGTGCTTGGTTTAAGTGCTTAGGGCTTAGTCCTGTTATGCATGGGAGATTCTAGGTGTGCTGGGACCACAGCAAACAGGGAGACAGGGTGGGCACTGTTATTGTTAAGAAAGGGATAATGGACGTTGGACCAGCACCTCTTGCTCATTTGTCTCTGAGTGTCCCAAGATGCCATATATCCTGTGCTGGGGCTGGCAAAAACCTTAGAGTGGACAGGTCATCTAATTCACATGTGTATTTATTTCATGAATGATATTTTCTTCCTCACATTCCCTGTCTTTTACTCCCTCATATCAGGTGCATTTGTGGTGGGCTTGTGACCCGCCTTTTTTTCTGGCTGGAGTTTCTGGAGGGGTCTCTACTATGGAAGAGACAAGAAGAAGTGATAGTAGACAGGAAGAGAGCAATGGCTGCTTCTGCCTCAGTGAGAAGGGGCTTGAGGTGCAGAAAGTGGGTCTTGTTGCTGTTAAAGTGTGAGATGAGGAATTTTCCCAGGGTGGTCCAGCTCTGCCTCTAACATGCCAGTGGTCAGCACAAGACTGCTTAGAGCACAACATCTTTGGGTTCTACAAAGAATTGCCACCTGAATGTGTTTGTACCTCCTTAAAAATTGTATCCTAGGGATTGGTTCACTCTTATTCTGACCCTGACAGTTATTGTCAATAGCATCTCAATCACCCCCCCATACATTTCTCACTTCGGAAAAAATAATACTCAGAGAGCAATGATTTGACAGTTCTAGAGATACCAAGTCCAGATACTTGCATCCTGGACTGGGGGAAAAGGGCCATGCCTCAGTCTGGAGAGAGCTGTGGAGGCTGTACTATCCTGATGTCTGCGGAGTCTGTATTGTGAGGAGGCCATGTCATAATGCAGCTGAGACCCTCCACCATTTCCTGGGGACCAGTGTGGACATCCTGAACTCTTTTGTAACCACAGGTAATAGGTGATCCCTAGCTTAAAAAATACACCATGGCAGAAAGACCCTGTGTCAAGGTAGTGTGCTGGGTCCTGGGTCTGGAATCACTCTGAGTGGCTTTCCACTGGAGCAACCTAAAAAAATGCTGGGCTTCTTGGCCAGGACCTGGCTAAGGGGCCTGAGACCCTTTCCATCAGAACATAGATCTATGCTGTTCCTGGTTATGTCCTAAGGAAATGTTCTGAAGGAATGAGAGCCATTTGTATTAGTGTTTGGTTTCCTTTTCAAGTCATCTGCTCGTGGTCCGTAAAATGGTTCTTCGGCTTTCCTAGCTGTTTGGCACAGGGATTCTACACTGTCACTCAAGTCCTAAGGATTTTTAAAAGAGGGATGAGGAAGGAGCGTGTCCCCCAGTAGAGTATCTTCCCAAGGGGACAGATGTGGGCAGGGGAAAGAGGAGGGTTTAGGTCTCCCAGGCAGGAGCTTGGAATGAGGTCTCAGACCGGCATTAGGTATCCACGAGTTGGGGCGTGGGCACCGGGGTCCAGGCTGCTTTGCCTCAACATTCATCTCTTCCCATTTCCCACATTCCTTGGATGCTGGCCCGGGGAACAGTCTTGCTTTTTGGTTAAACCTCAGCTGATTCCATCTGTGGTTTGGGAACAAGTTTCACAAAAGAGAAATGTGCTGAAAATGCAATAACAGACCATGACAAGTGCTTTCCTCCCATCATTCAGAAGACAGGAGGTCAAGTGGCTGGTGAAACTCAGTGGTGTGTTTCCAGGGGCCTTGATTGGAGGCCAGGCTACAGTGGCTTTCATGTTAGTACTGGCCTGAGTCAGGAACAGATGGCTTCCTCAGAGAAACAATAGTCTGCAGTAGGGTTCCACAGGCCTCACTGCCTTTTGCCAAGGACTTTCTGGAACCGGATGACCTCCTGTACCCGAGAGGTCTTGAGTCGCTGGCCCTCCCTTTCCAGTCCACTGCTCCCCTATTCCATCCTATCCAGGTTCCTGGCAAAACTCCTGCCATCCAGCAGGAGCCGAACCAACAGCAACCTCTCTGCCCTCAGCTTGTGTGAAAGTGGAGGGTTAACATGGGAAAGAGCCTCTGGCATTTGAGGTGCCCAATCCCATAGGATGGATGTACCCATAGGGTGATAACAGGACTCTAACTGATGAGAGGAGGCTCGGGAAAAGCTCCTGCCAATTCTACCCACGTGCCAATTCTACCCACATACCAAAATTTGTTCTGGAATTTCACTGAGCCACCAGTGTCATGCAACAGCTCTAGAAGTTCCTCTATTGAAGCAAAACCCCTAAGTTAACCTACACCATTCAACTTAAAACCATGATGCTCAAATAATGATGTACTCATCACTCACCCCTATTGAACCTGGCAATGGATGGATCAGCCCCCTAAATACTAGTCCTTAAATATTGTTTTGTTGAGACAGGGTTTCTCTGTGTAACCGTGGCTGCCCTAGAACTTGCTCAGAAGATCAAGCTGGCCTAGAGCTCACAGAGATCTGCCTGCTTCAAAGGCATGCCCCACCACTGTCTGGCTAGTCCTTAAATATTAATTCTCCTCTGTTGACAAAGATGTGGGGAAAATTATGAACCAACAAACAACAAAAAAGTACAAGGGTCCCAAGATAAAGACTGGGCAGGTAGTGGTGGTGCATATCTTTAATCCTAGCACTTGGGATGCAGAGGCAGGCAGATCTCTGTGAGTTTGAGGCCAGTCTGGTCTAAAGACAGAGTCCCAACACAGCTATGGCAACACAGAGAAACCATGTCTAAAAAAAAAAACCAAACAAAAATAGCATACCAAGATAAGGACTGAAGTCTAACTCCATATCACATTTTCTTATATTTTTGGTTGTAAGCCTAGCCTTTAACAGCTGAGCTCCAGCCCCCACATATGTTTTCTAACAACAATAATTCACTCATTGAAACTCATTGCATTTGGCAATTCAGTTATCAGGGCAATGTACTTTTGAACTACAAAGGGCAATTCTAACAAACCTTACATTAATTTTCAACAGGGTATTTTTGGTTCCCTAGAAGTGAATTTCTTGAGGTTTCCTGGATTATGTATAACTGAAGTTTTACAAAGATAAGCGGTACACCCACACTCTCAGGCACACTGTGTAATTCCAGCTGGTTCACAACCAAGTAAGCACTTATACGACTTTGCAGCCAGATGGTATCTGTCACATCTGCTCAGTGCATCCCAAGTGAAGATGCTGATGAGGGGGTGTGGCTAGATTCCAGAAAGGCTTTTCTTGTATTGTTACTACTGGAGAGAAATACCATGTGAGCCACATGTGTAACTTTAAACATTTTAAGGCTGGAGAGATGGCCCAGAGGTTAAGAGTACTGCCTGTTCTTCCAGAGGTTCTGAGTTCAATTCCCAGCAACCACATGGTGACTTACAACCATCTGTAATGAGATGCCTTCTTCTGGCATGTAGGCATGCATTCAGACAGAACACTGTATACATAATAAATAAACAAATCTTTAAAACATTTAAACATTTTAGCAGCAACATTCAAACAAAAAAGTAAGACTGACATGGTGCCTCATGCCAGTAATCCCAGTATTTGGAAAGCTGAAGCCAGCCTGAGCTACAATGTTAGACAATCTCAAAACACCCAAACCAAAGCAAATCAAAATTCCACAACTACATTACTTTTAGCAGTACATTTTCATTGACTTAATACATATAAAATAATATTATTTCAATAAGTAGCCAATAAAGGAGCCTTTTCATGCGTTCTCTTTTCATAGTCTCCTAAATTCAGTGTCTGTCTTACACATTTCAAGCATGCTTGCCTGGACAGAAGACTCTGAAGAATATATTTTACAAGCTATGATAAGTTTATATTTTCTGCTTTAGTAATTCTCTAACTAGTTTTGTTTCTTCCAGATTTGGGGGATTTGCTTGGTTCTTCATGTGAAGGTATGGTACAACACTAGATGTGCGTATGTCTGTATAGCATGTACAAGACATGTTTTGTGTGGGGGGCATATTAAGCATTGTCATCCTCTGCAGTAGGCATGATGAGAGGAAATGTTCTCTGTCCACAAGATGTAGAGGGCAGAGGCGCAACCATGATACAATGTGGGGCTCAGTGCCTGTAGGGGGATGGGAAAGGTACCATGGGATCTCAGAGGAGAGGGAATGAGAGTGTGGGAGGTCAGAAAAACAGCAGACTCCTACAGTGCAGTTAAGAAAGTCTGGTGACCATTCTCAGGGTGAAGGTGGTGAGGCATTGAATATCTGGGGAAACATACAGCTTTGTGTGGGACCCAGAGTGGGGTCTTAGAAAGGAGGTTCATAAACACAGTAATTGGGAGAGAGGCATCTGAGAGCCATTGCAGGGGAGGGTGGGACTGAGGTTGCATGCTGGATGACTTCTCCTGGGCGACTCCTGTACACTGACAAAGCCTATCAAGGAGAAGATGAAGAAAGGATTAGAGCAGGATGCAGGTTTGGGGCAAGGGGCACAGCAGAAGGTAAGGTTGGAAGTGACAGGAGTGGAGGCAACAGGGGATAGAGTGGGAGAAAGCCATGGTGGGATTTCCTTCTCTGCAAGCAGGAACAGTTATATGCTGTCAGTCTCTGAGGTCAGTTTGGGGCTTATGACAATGGGAAGAGAGCATAGTCAATGGACTCTTTGAGATGCATGGCTTTTCTAGCAAGGGGTGTTTGTGCCTTGGAGAGGTTAGAAAGGAGTGTTAACTGCTCAGTGATCCAGTTTGTACTGAGGTTTGAGTCTCTCTAGATACATATCCTGCCCTCAACAGTTCTGTTCCTACAGATTAGCCTAGGTTTTTCAAATCAATAGAGGAAGAGCAGAAGGAGAGATATTTCTGAGACTGGGGTTGGCAAGGTAGCCTGCAGGGAATGCTGGGCTGAGAGGGACCATCACAACAAACTCCTTTTCTTCAGCTATAGGACTTTGATGTAGCTTAAAGGTCACTTTGGCATCCTCTTAATGAATGGAAATTAATTCCTTTCTCTTTGCTTAACATCCTGACCCTTGTTATCAAGCACTTTCATGTGACATTTCTAAGATCAATTGAATTTCTCAACTTTTTTGGGGGGGTACTAATGAGGGCTTCAAAGGCTTTTCAAGTTATGGCTGTACTGCAATATTCTCTTTCCTTACCCTGCATCAAAATTTAAATAGACTCCAGTCATCACACTGCTTGTGTGCTGTTTGCAGTCCTTGATGGGAGAAGATTCCATCAACTCTGTTGTCCTTTGAAAAATGCTACAGGTCAGCCCTGGTGCATTTGAGTCATTTGGAATGATTCCAGGGTTGTTCTTGGCAACAGGCACCATGTCATGGCCAGAGCCCCCTGAAAGCATACAGTGGTGGTAGGACTGGACTAAGTCACTACACCGAACTTTCTGCTCTTTAGAGACAAAGGGTAAGGGACAGTCTTTAGGAATGGGTAGAAAAAGAGGCCATAAGGGGACTTCTAACTTCCTTCTTAAAGCAGAGAAACATTCAGTTTGATATCCTCTGTTCAGTTTTATTTGTGGAAGACAAGTATTTCTTCATGTGCTGGTCAGTTACTTTTCAACTTGACACAGCAAGGGTCAGCTTGGAAGAGGGAATCTCAGTTGAGAAAATGCTTCCATCAGATTGGCCTGTAGGCAAGCCAGTGAGGCATTTTCTTGATTAATGACTGAGGTGGGAGGGTCCTGGTCACTGTGGGCAGTTCCACCCCTGGGCAGCAAATAATTGTTTATGTAGTCTATCCAGATAATGGGAGCATGTGGATGTAGGGGAACATCATGGTTAGGGTGTTACTCAGCTTTTCATCACTGAGATGAAAAGCCCGGAAACTGTTTAAACAGATGGCTTTGTTTTATGATTTCATAGTCAACTAGCTCTATTGCTTTTAGGGCAGTGATGAGGCAGAACATCATGGTGGTGGGAGTATGTGGCAGAAGAAGCTGCTTGCCTTACGGTAGTCAACTAAAAGCAATGAGAGAGGAGAGGGGGTCCCCCACGACACATCCTTAGTAATCCACTCCTTCAACTGAGTCCTGCCTCCTGATTTCCCTCATTCTACAGTAGCCCATCAAATTTACCCATCAGTAGATTAATCCATTGAAGAAGTAGGAGCTTGCATAATTCAATCGTGTCTCCAAAGCCCCATCTCTGAACAGTGCTGCCCTGGAGACAAAGCTTTAACACACAAGTCTTGAGGACATTTCAGCTATCGGATATACATGGAGGCATATGAGATCCAGTGTGCTGCTCCTCCCTCCGTCCCTCATTTCTTCCTCCCACCCCGGAAGCCTTGAAGAGGCCTCATGTGGTGGTAGAGCCATCAAAATAAATAAAGCCACTGCATTGCCCTGGAGGAGTCTTCAAGGCTTGCAATTACATCTGGGTGAGCAGCACTCTCCATTTTAGCAGCCGGAAGAGTTGAGTGAGTCAGTAGTCTCCCTGTGACTTGGAAAACCTTTGTCATTGATCTGCTGATATCTTTTTGAACGCTGGTCCTTTCAAACACCTCTGAGCCTTTTTCCTGTGGGAGTACATAAAAAACCAACTCGAAGGGAATGATGACGCTGAGGGATTTTTCCCATTCATGAACGCAGAACCCAGACAGGGGGCACTGGGCCTTGCCTTCACTTTTCCCATCCTGTGTGGGGCTGCTAGTCCTGGAGCTCTGCCTTCCACCCCAGCAGAGGGGCCAGTGCTGCCAGTCACACAGGAAGTACCTCCCCTAGGCAGCTGTGGAGAGGATCACTCTGGAGAGACAGAGGGCAGTTCTGTGACCCCTGGGTATACACTGTAAAAGTCAGTATATTTTTCCTTCAGAATCTAAAAAAATTATAGCTAACGGTCACTTAATTGTGATTTTATGAATGAAATACAGTTTTCATAATGATGAGTAAAACTATTTACCTTTTGTACGGTTTAGTCATACTTCAGTGTCTGTCCTCCTGAACAACTGAAGCACACTATCTTAGCCTTGTACATAAACTGGCGTAAGCTGGGCTACTCATGCTCCCCTGAACTTAAGTTCTCTGTTCCAGAATACCCAGGAGGGCGAGTGGGGGAGGGGTGGTGAGTGACACAAGTCCAGCAGTGACATGTATTATTGCCTCTAGATTACATCTTTCTCTGTCTGCCCAGGGCCCATGAGCTCCATTCCTTATTACTGAGAAATAAATGGGATGACTAAAGCTTCTTAAGATTGATAAAAAAAAAAACAGAAAATAAGCAGGGTGGTGGTGACTCACACCTTTAATTCCAGCGCCCAGAAGGCAGAGGCCGGTGGATCTCTGTGAGTTCGGGGCCAACCTGGTCTCCAAAGCAAGTTCCAGGACAGCTAGGGCTGTTACACTGAAAAATCCTGTATTGGCAAAAACAAACAAACAAATAAAAAGAAAAAAATCCAAACAACCAGAAAATAACTAAATCAGCATAGTAACTGGATATTTTGCCACTTTCCTGGGACCTTTAGTGTTACCAGCAATTTGCACTGTCAGTTAATATGAGGGTAATGCCATCCTCCATCTTTGTCTCTGTCATTTTGGTCTTCAGTTTCCTTTTCCTTCCTATTGCACTGGCTAGGCCCTGCATTATAGTCTAACAGAAGTGGGGACTTCTCATGTGTCCAAACACCCAGTTTGCCATGAAGCAGGATGTTTTTGGTGCTGTAAAGTTGTGAAAGTTTCCTGATTTCTGGCTTACTTTGAATTTTATCATAAGTGCCTTCTGAACTAAAAAACAAACAAACAAACAAAAACATTTTGGTTTTCCCCTTTTTTCTGGTAATGTAGACTCTGGTTCTCTACATGGGAATACCAGTTATACTCACACCCACAATCACCCAGGCCTAGCCTATACACTTAGCCCAGAGAAAACACAGGCTCTCTTCTAAGTGCTACCTATACACCCTGCATCACCCAATAAACTAGGTATGTGAGAGAACTAAGGCAGATTATAGTTCAAGCCTCAGGCCTCATGGGAGTCCCTAGACTGATGTAAACTATGATGAAAATGTGTAAGGTGGTATGGAGGACTTAGCTGGAGAGGAAGAGCCTACTGCAAACCAGGATGTGTGTGTGTGTGTGTGTGTGTGTGTGTGTGTGTGTCTGTTGTGTGTGTGTGTTTAGGCAATAGACACATTTTCCCTATATTATTTTCCTTTTTGTTCACTCTTGCTTTTGATTTGCTTCTCAGTTTTCAGGTGTCTTTGATGCTACCTGGAAGGGCCTCATGCTGCCACTGGGACAGGAATAGGTGGCCATCAATCCAGGTAGCTCTGCTTACTAAGTGCATGCCTTTTGTGTGGCACCTCCAACAATGTGCTCAGTTGGGTTTGCTGCCTCACACATCTTGGACAGTTGAAAGTGTGGAGATGCCAGCAGAGGGCAGTGTGTGGGAAATGTCTCATCACCTGCTGCATGCAAGAATGCATCTGTTCTCTGCACTTGCTGGACCAGATACTCTGTGTGAAGGCAAGGTTCCCCATGGTTCATCTGGCCTCGGAGCCAGCCTTCTAGACTGTGATGTCAGAAGAGCTCTTAGGGGAAAGAATCTGAAAATTTGAGTTCTTTCTTCCTTAGTGAAGTCTCAGATGCCTCCATTTCCAAAACTCTCCTGCGTCAAAGCAGTACATTTTAGAGTGACACAGTTGGGATCCATTGGCCTGTCTACTTTAAAGTTTAGGAAGTTTCATACATCAGGAATCCCTGGGTATCTGGGGAGGATTTGTGTGAGAGATTTGTAAGCAGAGCAGTTCATGGTATGTTGTCCCTGTCTTACTACGTCACTCTCCCAGTCCTGAAAGTAGCTCTGTCCTCTGAGTCAACTGTATCCTGTTTTGGAGGGATCCTTTGAACCCTCATGTCTCTCCCTAGCAATTTAGACAAGAAAGAAGATGGCAGCTTGTAGCTTCTCTTTGTCCATTTTCTGCTGCTATCACAGCATTCCCGAGCCTCGGCAGATTGTAGAGCACAGACTTATTTCCTTATGACTTCAGAGGCTGAGAAGTCCAAGAACATGGTCCTAACATTTTGTACTCAGTCATTTTACTGTGGAAAGTGGGGGTGGGGTGAGCAAGAGAGGGATGCTGTGATTTGTGCAAGTGTCTGCCAACACCTCTGCTGAAGACTTGAGCCCCAGAATGACCTTGTTGAGTTCCAGCCTTGTAAAAAGAACTTATGTCATTTGATGCATGCCTTGAAAGGGACCTTGAGACCTACGCCTCTTCCTTTAGGTACACTGCTTGTGTTGCCATGCACTTTCACTGTGGTGTACTCCTCACCAAAGGCCCAAAAGTCAATGGGGGCAAATTGAGCATGGACAGAAAATTCCAAAAGAAATTCTTCATAAGCTTGAACACTTGCTCCCCAGCTGGTGGTGCTCTTTGGGAGAGTTTGGAACTTTTCTGGATGTAAGTCCAAGATGACAAATGTAGGCCCATAGAGGCAGATTTGAGGTTCTTAGTGTCACCCTGTTTGGGACTAAACTATTTGCTTCTTGGCCAGCATCATGTAAGAAGCAGATGCCCACTGCTGCCTACGCTGCCAAATTCATGTAGCTGCCTACCACCATACCTACCCTGGCGTCATGATGGTTTATAGCCAACACACTGAGCCATAATAAACCTTTCTTCAAGTTGTTTTTCTAAACATTCTGTCACAGCAGTACAGAATGTAGCTAATACACCTCCCAACATGACAAATGTTGCATTGGAGATTAACAGGCAGTGGAGGTGTAGCCTATCCCTAAGAGCAGTTATTTAGGAGTGTGCCATACTGCTTGGGAGGGTTAACACAGCACACACCCTAGTGGAGGCTCCAGTGCAATACTTCAGTCTTTTGGAATGAAGACATTATGTCACTCAACCATGTTGTTATTGCAGCAATGTTTTACTACTGATATAAGTGCTGTTCAGAACCGCTATCAGAAAAAAAAACACATGATGCTTCAAAGCAAATGTGTGTCTGCTGCAGTCACTCTTACTTCACTGTCCCTTCTCCAAACACTTGCTAAATTGTAGAACCTCACTGCTTAGGAAACTCCAGGCACAGACCATGGGCTTTGCAGGACCAAGCTGGTTGGGCAAGAGCTGTTTGTCCTAGGACCTGGGAGATCCTCTATGTACACATGTTTTCAGGCTGGTGTGTTTCATTTTTCTCAAAATCTGTTGCCTTGGCACAAGGTTTCTGGGTTGGGAAATGGTGCAGAGCTGAGCAGAATAAACATTTTACATCCCTAATTCCTGCCCACTCTAAAACCATCTGTAACCCCACAGCTGGAGACTAGGGAAAAGTTTTCTCAATCCCCCTTAGACAGAAAAAGAAAACAGAGAGAAAAGACAAAAAGTCTTCCTCACACCCAAACACAACTTTCCAGGGATTTCCTGGGGCGCAGGGCAGGATGTCAACATCACAGGAAGACATGCTGTATGTGCTGCTGTCAACTGAGTCCTGCCTGCCCTCAGCTTCCTCTCACCTCCAGAGCTGCAAGCCCTTCTAATCCTTTCCCCAGTCTTCCAGCCTTCCTACCTAATGAATGCTTCCCACTCTGAAAGGATTTCCTGACCTGGAACATTCCCTTGACCTTTGTTTTCATACACAAGCATTTTCTTAAAAGACCTCTGTCCCCTTTCCTTAGGAATACTAAACACTGTGTTTTAAGAGAACTTGTATTAAAAACAACTGCAATTAGTCTCCTTGGGGCTGTTTGGTCCCTGTTCTTGGTTTCCATTGGACAGGGTTGAGCATCTTTGTAGAAATGCTGGCCAGAGTCTGCATGGACATGACAGCTAGAACACATGGGGATGGGGTCAATGAGGAACTGTTAGCTCCACACGCAGAGGCAGGCTTCATCCTAGAGGGAGGACCTAAGGTGAGGCAGCTCTTTGAGTATCCAGGTTTCTGAGGAGGCTGATGGGCCCACATCCCATCTAACCATTTGGCCCTATCACACATGTGGAGTTGTCTGGAGCCTTGTCACCTCATTACACTGACAACTCTGTAGGTGCTCAGATATGAGGGACCAGATTGCTCAAGCCTCCTGAGATCAGGTGCCCTGATTCAGCTAAAGAACTCAAATGTCTGCAGTTATGGATGGACCCTGGAGAAACGGGATCAGGGCTTACAATAAAGAGGAATGAGCTTCAAGAACTGCATGTTCTTTGCATGTTTTATGAAGCCTCATAGGGTGTCTTACATCAGATGTCATGGCCCCCTCTCATTGTGGAAAATCCTTGGTTTGTGGGCTGAAATGTGTTCCTAACATTCATATAAAAGACATGATAAAGTTAAAATGAGATAATATATATGAGCCCTAATTCAGTGCAACCAACATCCTAGTAAAAAATAATGAGAGGACTGCTGAGATGGTTCAGTGGGTAAAATGGAGGAGAGAATGGCTCCACGATATTGACTTCTGACCTCCACATGCATGCTGTACCATGTGCATAGCCCATCATGAACACACACAATGAAAATATGAATGATGATGATGACAATGTTTTTTAAAGCAGTTAGAACACAGACACACAGAGCACAGACACAAGGAGAAGAAGGATGTCTATAAACCAAGAAGAGAAGGCTCACGAGGGAACAATCCTTCTGGCACCTTGAACTTGGACTTCAAGCCTCCAGAACTGAAGATGATAGATTTCTATTATTAAGTCACTTGATCTGTGGGTTCTTTATTTTGAAGTCCAATCATATCAGTGCCTACATGTACAGGTAGCCATTTGAAAGTCTTTCGTTCTCTATAGCATATAACTTGTTGCTAGCTTGTGACTTACCCTTAGGAAGCATGTGTGGTTGACCACAGTAACAGTAAGGATTCAATCTTTGCACATTACGTTAAACTCCCAGGTACAGAACAACCCACCTTGAAGGAAGAGCAGAAACTAAGAGGTAGTCTGTGTCCCCGTCATTCCTGATTAGATCTCCTGTGTGTTCTGGCCCACTGCCTCCTGCTCATGAGGCTTCATAGATGAGCCAATATGGTTCTGATCATAATTATAAAATGAGACAATAAAGGTGACATTCTCAGAAGGCTCTTGCTAGACTTTGCATAACATAATTTAAATCAAGAATTTAGTATAGTTCCTAGCACAGAACACAGATGCAAGATGTGTTGGGTATTGTACACATTTTATCAAAAAAATAATTGTGATGGTAAGCAAAATGAAACAATCATTGTAGAAATTTGCCTTGGCATACCACAGAATCAAATGCATTTAGAGAGATTAACCTATTTGCAAGAAGGCTTTGCAATTTGTTTGTGAAATTTTCCTAAACAAGTTTGTTTTCAAAGACCTGGCTCTGTTTTTGCTTTTCAGCCCCACAGATGTATTTTTGTACCTTGTTTTAAAGTGACAATTATTATTAGGAAATACAAAGCAAGTAGTCAAAAGAAGAAGGATTTGAAAAACCATTCAACATGCCTTGCAATATTTATATATTTCTTATATATACCCCTGGCTCAGTGGGTAAAGTCACTTGCTGCCAAACCTGAGTTCAATCCTAGAACCTGCATGGTAGGAGGAGAGAATCAATTCCCACAGGTTGTCCTTTGACCTCCATGTACCCACACTGATCAATAAGCAAATGGAATGAAGAAAAAAATCTTTTAAAATATGCTATTCATTTTTCATATTTGCTCATAAACAAGTTAAAAAGCAGTACCCCCCACTTCATGTTGGCTCTCTATTTCTTACTTCTGGTGCTGGCAACCCTTTCATTCCAGCTAATTCTACTGCAGCATCTGAATTCCTTGAATTTCTTCTAATGGTTTTCTTCATGAGCATGAGTATAGCACTCTGATACTTAATTAGAACTGCAATGCTGAAAGGGTGAGGCTGGCATTTAGTTCACTGCACACAACAGGCTTTTGTCTGTGGCACACAGACTGGGTTGCAGGCTGCAGGAAGGGAAAGGCAGCATCCTCCATCCTCTTTCGTTAGAGGTCCTAGAGTCAGGCTGTCATAGAAGAGTTACGGTAAGTAACTCTTTGGCTTTCCCTCAGTGTTTCACACTGTCTGGATTTCAAGGGTCTAAGGCTAAGGGAATGATACAGATGTCCTGTTTAATGATGAGCACTCAATTGTCACTTCTACTTGGCACTTTGAGTAGTTATGAGTCTGCTTTAACCATGGCCTGCTGCAGAAAGCATCTTTGACAAAGACAGAGTGTAGCACCAATCTGTAGGCATAAACATAAATATTTAAAAGGCAGTTTTAAATTTGTTTAGCAAAACAGCAGTAGTGGTTCCCCCACCCCTACTGCCTAGATCTTATATCCTTCCCAGGCATGGGGGTTTGACCCAGTTCACAGCACTAAGCATGAATTGTCCTCTGTGGAGTAGGTCTCAAATCTGGTAAAAAGCATCTGGTTACCTCACCAATATCCCTGCTTAAACTTTTCAAATGCTAGCATCCCCTCCTGTACTTCCATATCACATGTCCCCCCTTTTCTCACACCCTCTCAAGGTCTCCTTCTAGTTCCCTACCTCTACAGATACTTAGCTAAAAGCACAAACTTAAAACCTAGATGGTAGAATCCATACACGACAGAGATTATGTGGTGTTTGCCTTCCTGTGTATTCCATGTGTGTGTGGGAGCCCAAGGATGTCAGAAGAGGGTTTCAGGTATTCAGATCCCCTGGGGCTGGAGTTTCAGGCAGTTGTGAGCTGCCCAACATGGGTGCTGAGATCTGTTCTCTGGAAGGGCAGCACATATTCTTAACCACTGGTGCATCTGTCCAGCCTTACAGTAGCTTCTTGAGAAAGAGAAAGGAAGGAAAATTTCAAAGATTTTTCAGATATGAAAATATAATCTTTCCTCATCCTTACTTGATTGGTTGATTGCATGATGTACATTCATACACCCAAAGCAGTTCCCTAATGAAACAGTACTGAGGGTGGGCCTTTGGGAAGTGATTCAGACACTGTTCCCTCCATCTTAATGAATGAGATTCATGCCCTGACATGAGGGAGTCTGTTCATCTCTTCTGTGTTGTGCAGATGCAGAAGGAGAGGGTTGTGGTGAAGCAGCATGGAAGCTGTCACCAGGTATCTTGATCTTTGGGTCTTGATCTTGGGCTCGCAGACTTCAGAATATGGGTAAAGTTTTACTGTTGTTTATAAATTGCCAAGTCTAAGTCATTTTGTTATAGAAGTACAAATCAAATAAGAGAATGAAGCATAGAATCCTGGTTTAGAAACTACTGGGTTTTGAAATTGTGAACACAATGGTTATGTTTCGTTGCTGTGGCTATAGACAACTCTGATACCACATGAGTTGTGGTCTTTGATATCAAACGTTTTTTGTTTCCCTCTAGAACAGGAAACTTCATGTTTGGTCTGGGTCTATTTTCATCCAGTTTGCAGGACTTTTGGAGGGATCCCTCATCCTGTAAATTCCTATCCTGCTAGTTGTCTCTCAGCAAGATTAGCAGAATACATTGTGCAAGGGCATAAATTATATAGCAGCTGGTGAATTACACAGCAGCCAGCTGGTTCTCTGACATTGGTAGGTTGCTTTCCCTTCCCCAGTGGAGACTTCTGGGGCTTGGGGGAAGTTGAGTCACTTCCTGGTGCAAATCACAAACTGTCAAATGCGGTGTGCTTTGTAAGTGAATTTTCCACATATCTAAAGTAACAATGGTTTAGCCAGAACTCTAGGAGCATCTGGAATTCACTGATATAAATTGTATGACTTAAAGTAAAATGTTCCAGCCCATTTGTACTACTGAATGATGGATTGGCTACTTGGCATTTGACTCTGCTCCTCCAGGTCAGCTCTCTGGCTGGATCTATGTGACCCAAGAGTAAGCAGAGGACCATTGGAAAACGAGGCTGATGGAAAGGACCCTGTTAGGGTGGCATTTTGCATTCATCAGCTCTAGCAACTGAGCTTCATCACCAACAGAATTCCCTTAATTAAGTCTAGTCCACCCAGCCTCTGTCAAACTGATGATGTGATCTCTTCCCTACAGAAAATTTCAGTGTTTCACAGATTGATAATGACACTACTAATAACGTGGGAGGTAAGTGTAACGTGGGAGGTAAGATGCTGGGTTTTTCAATTCTGCATTTATACTTCTGAACCACAACGCAAGTATAATAATCCCTGGTAACAAGGAATGAACAGGAACCATGAACGTTACAGAGAGCTTGTGTAGGATGGTAGCAATTTACTTCATATCTTGGTTTGTGTGTGTGTGTGCGCGTGTGCACACTAAGTGCTCTAAAACCACACATTTTCAGCATTTGCTACTGGCCAATGCCTCTGTTTGGTCCACATAAGAAAGTACATACACAGTGATAGCTGGGAAAACATTACAGCAACTCGTGATGTAGTTGTGAATTGAGGGTGAAGGCAGAGCCTTTTTGCGAGATTGGCTACTCTATCCCATTCAGAGAGACATTACAGATGGACACTGATACCAGGAAGTACATCCCTCTCCCAAGTGTGTAAGTCTGTTATGTTTGTTCTCTGGCCTCAGTTGGGCAGCTGGTCTGTACCTAAAGTGAGGTGTCGTAATGCTAGTCTATTATACTCATGGGCTCTTTGAGACTCAAATTAGAAAGATGAGAGCAGCTACCAAAGCCTGAGCAGCCTTTTAAAAAATTTTACTATTATTATTATTATTATCCTATAACCCACGATCCTTCAGCATCCTGTGTGAACCTGAGGAATATCTGACCACACGGTAGATATACACAGAGGTAGTGGGGTGGCTTCCTGCCTACACACATGGTACATTTGCTGACAGTGACCTGAGTTCCCCTGGATTCATACTGGGTCACTTGACTCCAGGTGAGGTGAGAAAGAGCATCTCTTACAGCTGGAATGGAAATGGGAGCTTCTTCCTGATGGGTGGGTGTGGTGACTCAGCACTCTGGCCAGGAGGGAAAGCAGAGTCTGGAGGAAACCAGCAGGGCTGCACCCTTCTCTGTTAAGCCTTATATAGTTTAACAGATTTGTTTCTGTATCTATTGTGCCTGTGTTTTCAGAGTCAACATCAGCATCCAGGGTCTTTTTAATAACGAGTGACATGACAGGGCAATGTTGTTACTAGGAAAGGTGAGCTATTGAAAACAGAGCAGGCAAATGTCTGGAATAGGCCCTCTGAGGCAGAACTCTAATTTTCTGAATTGTTCCTGTTATGAATAGCAAGTACAGGGTGACATCATCAGGACAGCATGCCCTGGGCATGTTGATACACAATCCTCATTTTTTCTTTCTATTCTTTTAATTAAAAATGTTCTTGTTTCTTTTTTTCAATACATTCCAATTATGGTTTCTCCTCCATCTCCTCCCAGATCCTCTCTACCTCCTCCTCCCATTCAAATTCACACCTTTTCTTTTTCTCATTAGAAAATCAACAGGCAGCCAAAAATTAATAATAAAATAAAATAAGATAACAAAACAAAACAAACCAGATTAGGACAAAGCAAACCAATAAACCAAAGATAAAGAGCCAAAGAAAAACCACAAGAAACACAAATAGACAAGTGTGCAGAGACACACACATTCATACATACAGAAATCTCATAAAAACTGGAAACACAATACATACACAAAAGACCTGTAATATAAAAACAAAAAAATACCTGACTAAACATCACGACACAAAGAAGTTTATTTTATGTTGACCATCTACTACTGGTCCAGTGAGACTCTCTTGGATTAAACCAATTTTTCCTTTGTGAGAAATTATCAATTGGAGTAGCTATGGGTTAGGGGTGAGTGCTTGTGTTCACTTTCCCTCTTAGTGCTGGAGTCCCATCTGGCTTAGACTTGTGCAGTACCTGTGACTGCTGTCATAGACTGTGAGTTCATATGTGTGTCAGTCCTAGTATGTTTAAAAGGCCTTGTTTCTTTGGTGGCTTCCATTGCCCTGGTTCTCACAATATCTCTGCCCCCTCTTGTACAGGGTTCCCTGAGTTCTGAGGGGAGGGCACAGTCCCGGCTTTTGCTAGCACTAGATAGACTTGGATGGTAATGAGATCTCCTGTATATTGAGCATTGGAAGACCCTTAACTTTCTAAATGTTACAGATTATAGCCTTTACTTAAAGATGAAAAAATATAGCTTAGTGGGGCAAAATATTGATAAATGGAATATCATTAAAAAGCTATTGTCAGGGGCTTGGACTGAAATCTGGGGTCTGGTCCTGGAGTCATTGTTACTGTGTCATTTTGTGTTGAGATAACTTAAATTACTTCCTTCCAAGAGCACTTGTGTATACCCCTATGTGAGTTCCATATTGTACTGGATTGAGAACAACTCTACTCCCTTAATTCATGGAACCATGGATTGATCACCTTACAATGTGACTAAATAAGACCACATTCTCAGAGTCACTGATGATGTAAGTAGTTAAATGAAGATGAAGGGATAACAGAGAAGGATAGACCTTAATACAACAGAACTGCTGTTCTTATAAGAGGGAAAGAGACAAACATGTGGGAAACACCTCTCTCTCTCCTCTCTCTCTCCTTCTCTCCATCCCTCCCTCCTTCCCTCCCTCCCTTCTTCCCTCCCTCCCTCCCTCTCCCTCCTCTCTCTCACACACAGAATGCTCTGAAGATGGAGGCAGACAGCAGAATGATGCTGCCATAAGCTAAGAGATAACCAAGAGCTAAAAGAATCAAGAAAACAATGCAAGAAGTGGACCCAGTGAGCCATTTGGAGACTCCAGCTTGACTCCAAGCTTCTCAGGAGAGTATGTTCCCATGGACACCTGTTAAGAGAAGCTTTTTCTTTGAGAGGAGCCTTCTCGCCCGCCTGGTTTCAGATCCGCATCAGTCCCAAATAAACACACAGGAAGCTATATTCATTATGAAGCTGTTGGCCTTGTTTGTCTCTTACTGGCTAGCTCTGCTTTAAGTAATTACCCCATAATTGTTAATCTAAGTATGTCTCTTACCGGAGAATAGTTCCAGGCTTCCTACCCCCAATGGCGTTACATGTTGACTCTCTTGTGTTTCCCCTTCCCAGAATCCTCCTCGACTCCTAGTCCCTCCTATCTAGGTTTTCTATTGGCCAGACAGTACTTTATTGACAAATGCACAGGCAAATAACAGGACTTCCCCAACAGACACCTTAAGTTTTTGACTTCTGGTCTCCAGAGATATAAAAAATAAGTTTGGGGGAACTTAAAGCCATCCACATTTATGAGAATTTGTGATAATAACCTTAGGAAACTGCCGCACATCCTGCGCAGCCTGTATCCGAGAATGTGGCGAGGTGTTTGGGATTGATGACACAGAGACCAGTCGGTTGCGTTAAGAAAACTTTATGCTCCCCAAATCAGCTTAGGAGAACTTCCCAAGAAAAACGCTTCCCTTCAGAAAAATTTTTGCCATCCATACACGCACAAATCTCCAACAGACCTCTCATACACCTTCCCTCTTTCCTCCTGGCTGGTGGTTAAATCTCTGGCACCAGAATCAGAAAACAGCAGGGAGCAGAAAAAAGTAGCTAGATCAAAAAGTAGTAGATCAAAGTCAGGGTGTTTCAGAGCCCCTATCAAGCCCTTATCAGGAATTTATGGCACTGAATTGTTTTCAGTAAACATGTTTTCAGTAAACATTGTCTTGCAGCTGCCTGCTCCCAGGCTGATGGAGGAGTGGGTTTCTGGCCAGGGTCTGTGATCCCCACAGGAAACTGATATACATTTGGAAGCAGCCTTGTCCAAATGCTGGCCTATTGGGTTATATCAGATGTAAAAACAAACATCAAATCCTTCAACACTTTGTGTCTGGTGCAGCCTGGAGTAGCTGTTGTGAGTGGTTGCTGATCCCTCACTTCCCTTCCTACCCAACTGTGAAGACATCAGTAAGTCACTCATGGAAGCGCTCTACTACCGTAACTCCTGGGATCATTAGCTTGTAAAGAACAAATGTTCATTGGCTCACAGTTTTGGAGGCATTAGCTCCTGGACAGGTGGCTTTACTGGTTTTCACTAGGCAGAGCAGTATGGTGCTGGAACATGACAGGGCAAAACCAGTCACCTCACATCAGGAAGCAAAAGAGATGAGAAGAGAGAAATCAGTATCCTGCAACCCCCTTTTAGGGTATTCCTCAAAAACCTAAAGACATCTCCTGAGGTTCCATCTCTTTCTTAAAGATTTTACTACCCCTGCTGGGTATTGGTGGCACACACCTTTGATCCCAGCACTTGGGAGGCAGAAGCAGGAGGATCTCTATGAGTTTGAGATCAGCCTGGTCTACAGAACAAGTTCCAGGACAGGCTCCAAAGCAATACAGAGAAACCCTGTCTCTAAAAAACAAACAAACAAAAAACAAAAACAAAGAAAAGATTTTACCACCCCCTTAATAGTGTGAAGGTGAGGGCAGCTGTTATGGGCCATTAGACTCTATAACTAGCCTGGTTAATTTCAAGCTTCTCCATTATAAGGTTACCTGCTTTCCCTCTCTGTATTCTGATGTTTGGAAGTGGTTTATTAAGTCTGACTCACTTTCAAGGCATAGCAGGGAGTTAAGCTCACCTCTAAGAGGAGCACATGTCCATCTGAATTAGTTTGTGCTTTCCTCAACTTAGGATATGGAATGGGGATGAGTAGACCAGGCTTGTAAGAGTCACGTGGGAGGTTGATGTGCACACAAGGAGAGTGCTTAGATCAAGTAACTGTGGGGATTTTGGAAGAGATTTGTTTATTTAGAGCAGAGTTGCTCTAGTGTTATTTATTAGTATGGGCTCAGTCCCTTCAGAGCATCTCTCCCTCCCTCCCTCCCTCTCTCCCTCCCTCCCTCCCTCCCTCCCTCCCTCCCTCCCTCCCTCCCTCCCTCCCTCTCTCCTTCCCTCCCTTTCACCTCTCTTTCCTTCCTTTCTTCTTTGCATGTGGTGTGTGTGTGTGTGTGTGTGTGTGTGTGTGTGTGTGTGTGTGTTGTGCCCATGTGGTTGACACTGCGTGTCTTCCTATGCCACGCTCTTGTTGACCCTAGAATTACCTATTTAGGTAGACCAGTTGGCCAGTGAGCTTCAAGAAACCAACTGTCTCTCCTTCCCCATCATAAAAGTAACTGTACACACACACTGCTATTCTGAGCTTTTACATGGATGCTGGGAATCTGAACTTAGATCCCACGACCTATTCTGAGATTTTAGCCTCCTCCTCTTCCCTCACCTACATGAAGCTACAGTGACTCTTGGTATATGATTATTTACAGAATCTTCTCTAGATATTAAAGAGCTTGATATTAATGCTACCAGAGAGTATGAAAAACAAGCCTGTTTCAGGGACATCCTGGGGTTCCAGTAAATTGCCTGTGGAAGCTTATACTTCCCTAACAGCTTTGGCAGCTGGTGAGTCACTGATTTACTCAAAGGGCGGTGTTTTGTTCTTTTATTATGAGTTATGGAAGCCACTAGGTCTCAAAGCTGAATAAGTTGCCAAACTCTTCCAGGCTTAGTGTCAGAAGCATAGTATGTGGTCAGGGTATTCAAAGCTTTATACCATGGAATCGAAAGCCAGCGTGGACCTTTTGTGACAGCTAGTGTTCAGGATCTCTGGAGCCAGTAGTTAATACAATCATTAGGAACAGTTTATGTAAACTTACAACAAAATATATCATTAAAATACAGGCAATGTATGCACCAAATACTACTCTAATGTTCTATACTTTTCTGTATATGTGTGTGCTTGGTGTCTATGTTGATGGTGCCTTCCAGGTACTTTTCCCCCCACTCTGTGTTCAGTGACATCCTGCTGCTGGCCAGGAGCTAGCCTCAGTGGAGCATTTACACCCCAGGAAGGAGCAAACCTGACACATCAGTACTTTTCTTCATTCATTTACCACCAATACTGGCTCATCCCAGTGGCTGGGCCAGGATCTTTGTGAGTCTGGAACATTTCCCTAGAGATAATATATGGTCAGTCAGGCTCAGTCTGCAGGGTGTTACTGGGGAACCCTGAGCAACCAACCCACCCATGCTCAGCTGTGATTTCTGCTAACCTGTGTTTGGTTGGTGCTTGAATGCTTAGAAGGCTTGGAGACTTGCTCCTATTCAGCAGCCACTTAAAAATATTCCTACACAGCCAAATCTGGAATTTTTTAAACATTGAACTAATTAAATGATGCTAAGTGCAGTGGTTTGAATAGGTATGAACCCCATAGATTCATATGTTTTAGTGCTTGGCCCATAGGGAGTGTCACTTTTAGGAGATGTGGCCTTGCTGGAGTAGGTGTGGCCTTGTTGAAGTAGGTGTGGCCTTGTCAGAGGAAGTGTGTCACTGTGAAGGTGGTCTTTGAGGTCTTAAATGCTAAAGCTACACCCAATGTGACACACAGTTGATTCGGCTGCGTGGGGACCAAGATGTAGAACACTCAGCTCCTTCTCTAGCTCCATGTCTTCCATCCTTCCTGTCAGGAAGATAATGGACTCAACCTTTGAAACTGTAAGCTAGCCCCAATTCAGTGTTTTCCTTTATAAGAGTGCAGTGGTCATGGTGTCTCTTCACAGCAATAGAAGCCCTAAATAAGACACAAACATATAAACACACACACACACACACACACACACACACACACACACACACATATATATATACAAGGTGTACAGTATTATGACTGATATAAGTACACACTGTGTACTTATTTCTACAATCAAGTTAATCAACACCCCAGTACTACCTGTGGTTACCATTTTATATTAGGTGGTAAGGGACTAAAATCTGCTTTTGTTATATTTCAAGAAAACTATACAATATCATTAATTATAGTCAACACATTATTCATTAGATACCTAGAACTTGATCTTATTTTTTGCACTGTTAATTTTTTTGTGGCAGGTCTAGTATCATATATATATATGTGTGTGTGTGTGTGTGTATCTATGTAAAATTTATTGAGTTAAAATATTATTGAAGTAACACACATGATCTAAGATAATTTAGCATTTTTCTAGGACATTTCCTGATTCTCTAGGACTAGACAAGTAGTAAGGGTGAAGCTAGGCCTGTGGGGATAGTAGGGAAGTTTTACCTGATGTATGCTGTGCTGATTAGGGCCTTACTCCTTCATGTAGCATGAAAAATAAAAGATGCAGAGACTGATATTAGGGTTCAAGCTTCAAGCTGAAAATCAGAGAAGCGAAGCAGCCAGCCGATAGTTCTTACCTCTAGCTCAGGCTGAAAGGGATAATCCATGGATTCTCCACCAAGTTCAGACTGTTGCCTCTCTTCAGGTTGGCTGCAGAGAATCCTGAGTCTGAGTCTTCCTGTCCTCAATGTGGCTGAAGAATGAATGCCAGCCCTGGGACCCTGTTCCTATCTTAAATACGTCTCATGAGTCCTGGGATTAAAGGCATGTGATCCCAGGTGCTGAGATCATCTTTGTGTCAGCTGTTTCTCATTAGAAGTAGATCAACTTTATGTAGCTCTGTGTGGCCTTGAACTAACAGAGATCGGTCTACCTCTTAATCCTGAGTCCTGGGATTAAAGGCATGTGCTTGGCTTCTATGGCTTGTGACTGACTTTGCTTCTGAATCCTCAGGCAAGCTTTAATACATCATAAATAATATATCACCACACCTTCAGGTTCTGCAGAACTTCACAGATGACTCTCTTGGACGTTTCTTTGGTTTAATCTCACTGGGGCTGTTGGTCTCCAGATCCTGGTTGGCCTTATTCACTCCAAGGACCTTGCCTGCTGGTCACCTCCTTTGCACTATGTCCAGCCCTGCCTACTCTGGTCCTCTGCAAGAGCAGAGTGTGCTCCCAACTACTGACCTGTCTCTCCAGTTCCCTCCAACTTTTTTCCTTTTAAAATAATTTTTATGGGGCTATAAAGATGGCTCAGAGATTG